CCGCAGCGTCGAGCACTTCCCGTATTCTCTCGTTGTTCACTGCATCCGTTAACAACACATTCGAACAAACTTCACTGCTTACATGTTCGATAAAATTCAATAACTTCGCGATACCTAGAAACGACAAGTTTATACTTCTGATTGATAAAATTTGTATAAACTTTCCAAAAATTCAAAATAGACTTGCAAAAGAAATTTCTCGAGAGCATGGCGGCACCCCCTTTTTCTGAAATTACATTTCGCCGTTACAAGCCCGCAAAATATTGGAAGGCATAAGAAAAACTTGCGACGTGCGTAGCATCTTCATTCGGAAAAAGCTAGTTGCGCCCCCCTTCCAGTGCGAACAGAAATCCTGGGACCGTCATTGCAGCTGTGTTGATGGTAGATGTCTTTTGAGCTTTTTGTTGAATAAAAAAAGAAATCTACAAGTAAAAGAACAACAAAAGTAGAAAAAAAATCGAAAAAGCCATAACGACCATTGCAATCAAAGCGACCATTTCTCGAAACTCTTATTGGTTAAAACAGTAATTATTCATGCCAATCATCTCTGGCATGTGAAAGAATTAGCACAAAATTTTTGAGGGTCGCTAAAGAAAACAAAGTGAAAAATGAAAGCAAGTGAGCATTAAGTCATATGATGACCACAGTCGTTGAAAAAAGTAACCCGAAAACTTAAATAAGGTACTGCGGACTATACCGACCAGCAACGAATTACTTTTCACAAAAGGTAACCTATAATATACCCACCAGTGGACACCAGGTACTGTGTACACTGCACGAAAATTCTCCTATTTCCAGCAATCACACCAGAATCGCTGGGTTCTGGTCGTTCCAAATCAAGCGACGAATCAAGGCCGAGGTAACTCACGACTTGACTTTTGATGTTTGCGAGCCTGCAACTTCTTAATGCCAATATGGATAATTAAACTGTGAAAAAGGATCAATAATAACAGCATACGTTTGGAAGAAAGACGGTGGAGGAGGGTTCTCAAGCTGCGCACAAAGATCAGCTGCTAAAATAGAGATTTGTGCTTTCAATGTCACCGTCAGCAACGAATAAGCATATGCAATTCCAAGGATGCGAGCGACGCTAAGAACCTGTAAATCGA